AGAGAGAGAGAGAGAGAGATGATTGTTAAGAAACAACAATATTATTGGGTAATTACCAGCATTTCATAAAAAGCCAAAATAAATATGATAAAAATAATTATCTAATATTTGGCCCTATATTCGTAAAACAATCCTTTGTTTTACTCGCAAAAGTTAGGAATTTTTCCAATTATTTCAAATAATTTATTGTTTCAGTCATTTATAAAATAATAATTATTGTTAGTTTTGGTGAATATCTAGAATTCAAAGAATTATATTATTTATATATTTATAGACATATATTGAACTGAAACTATAATTTTAATACTAAATTCATATATAATATTATTATGTAATATATCTAAAAAAATAGATTGCTTTGGAAATATACTTTATACTGGATAAGTACTTCACAATATATTGAAGGCTTGGATTGTGTGAAGTGATGAGAAAAGTGAAAGAAAGATAAATAAATAAAATATTTTATCAAAAGGATTGGCATCTAATGAAATATTGAGACTCACTCGGAAGGCCTGGGCTGCCATTGGCTTTAATTCCTGAACCATTGGCATATGTGTGAGCAGTTCTGTATTACATATTCCCGGATGCAAACTATTGACAGTAATTGATTGCCGCCAATCATTGCCCGTCTCCTCCAGCCATCGGGTCATACGGTTTGCAAACATAATTTGTGCCAATTTTGATTGACCATAAGCTAAATAAGTGGTTGCCCTTGTTGCTTTGAGTTGCGGGTCATTGAACTTAATAGTGCCCACTCTATGCATCGCCGATGAGACCAATACAATACGTGATTCAGATCTCGATGTTTTGGCCGTTTCGTGCAATGCATCCAAAAAGTGATCGATAAGCAGACAATGGCTCAGATAATTGACAGCCAAATGTCCCTCAAAGTTGTCTTCAGTTAATTTCTCGTTCTTTTGAGACATAATACCCGCGTTTGCGATGAAATAGTTGAGCGGAAGACCAGTTTGTTTGAAGCGTTTGGCAAAATTGCTCACAGAATTCATGGACTTGAGGTCCAAATGCCAAATGTCTAACTTTCCTCTGCCTTTAGGTATGTCTGCCATCAGTTGGTCGTGTCGTTTGATGTGCTCGGACTCACTCTTGGATGACGAACCGGTGATGACATGACATTCCTTCTTCAGCAACACTTTGACCACTTCTGATCCGATGCCACGACTGCCGCCCGTTATTATACATACCTTTCCGTATAGACTCGTCTCTAAGTCGGCGTCACTTTCTTTAAGTTTTCGTATTTTGGTGTTTGGATTGTATTTTCGGTCCAATTCTTTGTATAAATAGGGAAACAATTGCGAAGAGTTCTGAAAGTTTGTCCAAAGACTAGAAGCAAAGTCTATAAAACTCATGATTAGTGATCAGATATTTTTTATTGCTTTTATTTGTAATTAATTGTAAAATTAAACACTAATAAAACAAAGATTATACGAGACTTTGAAAACGAACAATTGATTACAGGATCGCTATATTTATAATATAGTAAAATAAATCAATATTTATGTGAACAAAATGTTTTCACTAAAATAAATGGTTTAAGAGAACGGATGTCAACGAAAAATAAATGAATCGCCGCTTAAAACCCAAATTAATTTCCTTATAATTTGAAAAATTGTTTTATTTTATTAAAAAGTTTTCATAAATTCCACATTTTGTTGGCCGACAAAATATATTATTGATTTATCAGATGAGTTATGATTATAAATGTTAATTAATTACAATTTTATTTTATATACACTGTATTCATGATAGAGAATATAATTATATGAACAGAATATATACCATAAGAATCTAATATAAAATCAATAGAGCACTGGATTCTGTGGTTTTAATGATCACTCTTTGTATTTATTGGAAATGTAATTAAACAACATTTTAAGAGATAAATAGTTTTTCTTGTTTATAATTTTGCAAAAAGCATAAAAAATATTTTTATCAGTATTTAATGAAATACAGGAAATTATTTAATTTGACATTACATTAAAAATGTAAATAATTTTGTAGATAACAATTAAAAATTAATTACGATATTTATTTTACTTTTAAAAACACACATTAAATAATTAATATTGATATATAATGTTAATTAAAGCAAGTTGTTTATAATTTTTACTCTAATTAACTCTATACATATTTTTATAACGTGTAAAGAAATAATACATTTTATGGTATGTGAAAAGAAAATAAATGGATGAGATTTGTAATGACATTATTTTGAACATAATTTGTTAGTTTTTAATACCCGTGTTATGTGACTATCAATAGATTAACAATTTAAAATAATTAATTATTTGCAATTTTTCATATAATATTTTACAAATTATTGAAATTTTATTATATTTAATAAATACAATAAAAATTGTCTGATATATTAATACATGAAAACAACAAATATAAACATATACCGGTATATATAAACTTAAAAAATAGTTTCAAGATGAAATAATTTAAATCCAAATAAACAAAATCAATTTTAAACAAATCAGTTATTATTAATCTCATCGATTGATTGTGCGATCAATTGTCTCATCACTTCATAGTCGGGCTCCGCATAGAAATCCATTTCTCGACACATTTGTAGATAACG